ATGCTTCAGATCCATACAACACCATCTTGTAGAGTGCGATTTTTCTGACGAGAGGTGGCCTTCCTTTTGAGTTGCTTACTAAGAACATAGTGTAGCACCTGTTGGCCAACTCTATATGTCTCCGAATTTCAAAACTGATGTTATTAGTTGTATTTATGCCGGTACCAAGGTACATAAAATTGTTTACTACCTCAAATCTGTAGTTTTCAAGTTCCACAGTTGGTCCGAATTTACTGGACATCTTGCGAGTTAATACCAAAAGCTTCAACAATTTGTTCAAAGGTGGTTACCGGCCGCAATGTTCGACCCATTATATCTATGTCATCGGAGTAGGCGAGTAACTTGTGTTGTCTGGTGTACAGAATGCTATTTCTTTTTAACTATGCCTCTCGTATGACCTTTTCCAGCAGGATGTTAAACAGGTTACACGACAAAATGTCACCTTGTCTGAATCCTCGCTCGTTGTTAAAGGTCGTTGTTATAGGTCTTTTCCGACTTTAATTGCTGACCTACTTGTATAGGGCTTTTGACTGCGGCTTTATAGTCGACGAATAGGTGGTATGTGTCGATGTATTTTTCGTGGGCCTTTTCCAGAATCTGGCGCAGAGTGAAAATTTTGTCAATGGTGGATTTTCCAGACCTGAAGCCGCATTGGTATGATCAAATAATGTCATTGGATAGCACTATATATATGCGATGGGAAGGAGACTTATTCCTCTATAGTTTAGTACGGGACAAAGGATGCTGATATTCCAATCATTGGTCATGCATTCCTCTAGCCAAATTGTATTAATCAGCTGGTGCATGCTCCTGATCAGCATTTGATCACGAGTGTTAAATAGTTCGCCCCTGCTGCGCTATTGTTCTTCAGCCGATCATATTTTGGCTAGGTGTTCTTCCTTATTTTTTTCTGAAAATGCGATTCTCCTCTCACTTTTTCTCTTGATAACTTTCTCGCATTACGTGTTGCTGGTGGTCTTTGGTACCCAGGGTTTGCTTTTGCTGCAGTTCGCAGGGAGTGGGCAATTCTTTGCCATTGTGCTTCTATATTATTATCGGGAATGCCTGTCGTACATCACAACATGATCGATTTGATTTCTGTTTGTTTGATCGGGAGAAATCCAGGCGGCCTTGTGTATATCGAGATGCTTGCATTTCTATATTAGTTTTCAGAATTTGTGATTCTATATTCAGCCGGAACATATGTGAAAATATATTTTTTTTTTTTTTTTTTTTTTTTGGTAACGAACATTTTGATCCTAATATCATATTTTTCTGTAGAAAAATCGCTAAAATTATTAATAGAGAATTTTACAACAAAATTATTTTATATTTTCAGTTAATAATTGCAATTAAAAAAGAAAATATTTTATTAAAAAAAAAGAAAATAATTATAGTAAAGAATTTTGATTTTATTATGCTATATAACAGCACATAATAAGAAAAATTCTCGAAAAACAAAATTTATGCAATAGCACAGTGAAGTATTTCGAACAAGGCAAATTACAATAGTGCAGTACTACAATAATAAAAAATAAACAATTATTTCAAGCGTTAATAAAACGAAATAAAAAATATATAAAAAATTCAAATGAAAAATATTTTAAAGAAAAGGTAGTAAACCTTCAAATCATTTATAATTAAAATAAAAACAACAAATAGTATTTGTTTACAGGTTTCTATTGGATTGGGTGTTTTTTCGTATAACATTTGATTTTCTTTTGCATTAGTTTTGTATGTAAAGTTATATATGTACTATATATCTTAGTAATATTAGCATATATTGATATATTTAGTAAAATTAAATTATAATATATATTGTAGTAGTAACACTCACTTATTATATAATAATAATAAAATTAATATATATATATATATATATATATATAGAAAATAAATGTAATTTTACTTACAATTCTATTTTTTAATTATTTATGTTCTTGTATGTGTAAAACCTTTTGATTCTGTTCTTTTATATATACGTTTTATTGTTGTATCTACAAAATGTGAAAAAATCGAACATAATAAAATAAAATTTATTTATAAAAAACGAAGAGCTCTCTAACTATTTATGGGTATAAAAAATAATTAAAAATAAAAACATTTGTTTCGATTTTGTTTTAAAAAATAAAACAGGAAAATTGATAAAAAAACAAACTGCAAAAGAAAGGAAAATAAATATATTCGACATAATTTCAATTATTAACGGAAAATAAATGTGAATGGAAGAAAATGCAACAAATTTATTGAACATTTTTTAAACTCAAAATTAATTAGGATTTGAATAAATAAAACTTTACATAGTCTTATAGTGAAGGGTTGTCATTACCCACAATCCTGTAACCTAATAAAAAAAAGTTTCCTAATTGATACCATGACATATTTAAAATTACAAACCTCTGAAAAAATAAAATAAAAATATGAACCAAAAAAATTAAATTAATTTTAGTGTTGTATTGTCTCCATTTTATATTTGCAGATTACTCATTATGGGGAGTTAATATTTACAATCGGGGTTTTTAAATTGGAAATCTATTTTATGGACATCATTCGGTATTCGGGAAATTTCAAAATATTTTTGCCATTACTGTTAATCAGTATTTGTATATGGAACCTAAAGCGAATTATCGAAATTGAATTTCAGCATAAGAAATACCAACTTATTTTAAAATAAATAATTTTCTTTTTTGATAAAATGATGACTTGAGCTTGAGATCTTATTTTATAGTTATTTTGAAAATTAATTTAAAATACATATTTTCTCTAATTTTGTATCCTTTACAAAACACTTTATATTCAATTCCGATAGCAAAATGAACTTCGACAAAAGCTTTGATCGTTATCGAACGAAACAAAATTGGGCGGGCCGATTGTACTCCACTTTGAAAAATTGTTGATTTTCAAAAGATGCCATTAATCGTTAATATTGGTTCGTTCGAAATATGTTTTTAACTCAAAGAAAAAAATCAGCATCGAAGTCAACTAACCCCCAATGTTAAAAAAAAGGTGAATACAAGAATTAAAAAAAAAGATTTTCCAAGATGGAGTTTATAGTATTTTTAGCTGTCAACTCCATATTGGAAAACCGTATTCTACTTTAGGTATATTCAGGAGATGCTTCTCGAATTCGTAGTACGATTACATCACACTTAAGTTATATGATCGCCAGTAAATAATGTCATGGTGATCGGACAAGGCGTAGAAATTAGGGTACACCACAATTTCAATGTACGAACCGATTTCAAACAAAGATGACTAGGACAGTCACCACAACCTCTTATGTAGCAATAATATGTTCGCCGATTGCGGATATAATCTTAAACACTGTTACATTGCTACTTAAACTTATACGTGCAGAAGTATAGTTGAATGTTATCGGACGAATTCACAGTATTGCGTATAGCGGACAGTCCAATGATGTTTATTGGATTGCTGTGAATTGAATAAAGAGTTGCGGGTGAGCAATGTTCAAAGGGAGGGTCTCAGAGGTACTGATAAATTTTGGCGCAACTATAATAAACCAAACTTTTGAGTTCCTAGCCTCCTCCCCTAAAGGATGACTTCCTAACGTGCCCATCAGTAGATATGGTTTGCAGTCAGGGTTCCGACTGTATTCGAATGGGGCCTCATTAATACCTGGGCGCCTCTATGAGTATTTGATTTAGTTACCAAGTCCTTGGCGGGGTAAGGAGACTGTGTGATAGTTAACCTGAGGTATCAAACCATTTTAAATTCCCAAAAATTAAAATTCTTCGACTGCTGATGGTGTGACGGAAATACTCGGAATATAAACCTGGACTCACACACGGACTCATCTCACATATTGTTGAGCATACTGACTGATATAGGGGACGACTTTGCGTCAAGCCAGGAGAGCGATACCCCAATATCAGATGAAGAGGATTATGCTGATCTCACCGTCATCAACACTAAACGCTCAAATCGACAGGGGACGACAAATATGTCAGCTGTGCTGTGTCACAAGCGGAAATACTCGGAGTATGAACTCGGATTCAGACACGGACTCTCTCAATGAGCGTATGTTCACTAATGTGCAAGGGATGCCAAGGGATGGGTAGATCCAAAAATCTCTAATTTTTTTAAAGAATACTTCGGCAATCAAAATTTTTGAATAGCATACCATGATATAGTTTTTACTTTAATGATTATTTAGGTTCAATATCATTCGAATACAATTGCTGTATAATTCAGTTCACTTTAACTGTAATTTAACTATGGTTCTTTACACAAATATTATAAAATTAATATAGATGTCAATAGATTTCTCATCAGTAGCCACAACATTGCTGAAAAGGACTAGAAAAGGCATTGTTTCTTTTTCACCGATAGTTCCAATTCATATTTGTCTCATCCAGAATTTATATTAAAAGCTATGAAATAAACGAAATTTGCATTGCTTCAGCACTCCCCACATTAATGCTGTTGTCTCCGATTCCGATCACTTCCATTTGGAATTTAAACAAATTGAGTTAGCCATTTTTGTGTATTTTTTAGTAATTTTACGATTTTTGTTTTATTTTATTGTTTTTTTTTATTATTATTATTTTTATAGTTTCTTTTATAATTACGAATTATAATAATAGTACTATAATTATTCATCAATTTTATTTATTCTTGTATTTTTATTTTGTGTTGTGTGTTTTATTATATTTATTTTCCTTTTTTTCTTGTTGCAGTTGTTGTATTTTTTATTTACTTATTTTGTTTAATGCAATTTTTCATTCATCATTCAAAATATGCGGAGTTGTTTTTTTTGTTTTTTAATTTCTTTTTATTTTCTTTGTTTAACTATTTATTTTTATTTTCATTATTTTGTTAGATTACCTCTCATCAATGATTCATTATCGAACAGTGTTTTTTAGCTTTTTCCTTTTTTGTTTTTGTTATTATTGTGTGTGGTTGCGCTGTTTAAATGTTTAAAAGTCTCTGTAGTGTCTCTGCAGAATAGTTGCTATTCTCGGTGACATTTTAATTTTGTATCCAGTTTGAAAATTGGCTATAGATCATCGGACATAAATGAATTTTGTGATTTTGATTCTTCTATTCGACGTATTTGCTGGCGTAAATACATAATCCTGGAAAGGAAATAATTTTTGTTAATTAAATGAAATTTTATAATTTAGATGGGATGTGACAAAACTTACTTTTGTTCTTGCAATGTGGCTGTAATTTCAGTTATTCTAACTAAACTTCTCGCACATTTTAACTCGGCTGATACTTTTGTACACTGCAAATCTCCATATATGTGTGCTTCCTCTGAACATTTTTGCGCCTGATAAAAAATATATAAAAAAATATTTACTAAATATTAACAATTTAAATAAAAAAGAATATTAAAATGTAAAAAATAAATATTAGAAATAGTGTGAATATAAAACAAGTGAAGAATTTGGATACCTCCAACACAGGTATACTGATAAAAATATATTAATATTAAATTCCTAATAATGGCGTAGGGGATGATATATACCAAGCAACGGCTCTGATTGGATTTAACATGGCGAAGATCAGGCTTATCTTGGTCCCTCTTTCATCTCAATTGTGGACACTGACCTCCCCGCAGATTCACCTAGGGTAGCTATTTTTTCATCACCCGTTGAAATAGTGAGCTAATATGTACCGCGAGTTCACCCGTAAGAACTATAAAAAATGGGTTGAGGTGTCGGGTTAGTTGCCCACACTCGGAAAACCCCTCCAATATGAAAAAGCAACGAAATAGAAAACCAAACCCCCCTAAAGTTGACGACGCCCGCAAACGTATAATGGACCACGATCTGTGAATCTGTCCTTGGAATGTGCGCACCTTGTACAGAACAGGCGCAGTTTTCGCTTTGGCCGATGTACTCAAGAAGTACAGAGCCGATATTATTGCCATACAGGAAATACGATGGAAAGGGACAGGCGTAAAGTAAACCAGACGATTACGCACTGTATTATAGATGCCATATAACGAGACATGAATTTGGCTGCGGATTTATGGTTAACAGGAGAATAAAAGACCTCGTCTCCAGATGCACTCTAGTAGATGAGCGAATTGTTATAATCCGCATAGAAACATAGTTCTTCTACATCAGTCTTATTTGCGCCCATGCTGCGACCGAAGGCAAATATGAGCAGACCAAACGAAGACATATTTTATGAGCGCCTAAAAACAGCATATGATCGCAGCCCTAGCCATGACATTAACATTCTGCTAGGAGATTTTAATGCAAAAATCGGGAGGGAAAATATCATTGGCCCCTCCGTCGGAAAATTCAGCCTTCATGAAGAAACATCCGTCAACGGCATGAGGTTGATTGACTTCGCGGCAGCAAAAAACATGGCAATTAGCAGCACCAGATGCAAGCATCTCCATATACACAAGGCCATCTGGATTTCTCCTGATCAAGCAACGAGAAATCAAATTGACCATGTTGTGATACACGGACGGCATTCATTCAGTGTATTAGACGTTCGATCGATCCGAGCAGCGAATATCGATTCAGAAAACTACCTTGTAGCAGCCAAGGTTCGCACTTGTTCGCACACAACACGGAAAATCGACGTCGAAAAACTGCTTGGGTACCAAAGACCACCATCCAGAAAGAAACCCGTGGTACGTTCAGGAGTGTCGTAATGCTACTAATATGAAAAACGCAGCGTATAGGGCAACCCTGCGAGGGAGAATTATTGGGAAAAAAGGAGAAAGAACAAGAAAAACATGAGCGGTAGCAAATCGAGATGTTCAGGAGTCAGAACGAATAAGCCTGGTGACAGATACAGACAGCGTGAGGATCTGGAAGGAGAATTTTGCAAACTTCCTGTATCAAATACTAACGATCAAGAATATACCCCAGAACCAATAAGGGATGACGGTATAGATTGTATACCACCTAGCCAAGATGAGGTCAGAGTAGCAATTACCGAGTGCCGATGGATTACAGGCCGAGCTATTCAAGACCAATGGTCAGATGCTGGTCAGGAGCATGCACCAGCTGATTAGTACAATTTGACTAGAGGAATACATGCCCAATGATTGGAACCTCAGCATCCTGTGTGTCCCGTGTACAAAACAGGAAACAAGACGATATGTACCAACTATAGAGAAATAAGTTTCCTTCCCATCGTATTTAAAGTGTTATCCAGCGTGCTATGTGGACGACTGAAACCAATGGTCAGGTCAATGACATTATTGGACCATACCAATGCGGCTTCCGGCCTGGCAAATCCTCTATTGACCAAATTTTCACTCTGCGCCAGATCCTGGAAAAAAACACGAAAAACACATCGACACATTCCACATATTCGCCCACTCAAAACATTTGACAGGCCTATTCGTTCAGAAGTGTTTAGCCATGTCGGCGTCTGGCATTCCTGCAAAATGAATACGACTATGCAGGATAACTTTAACTTGTACAATGTCAGCAGTTAAAGTAGGAAAGGACCTCTCGGAGCCCTTCAATACCGAACGAGGATTCGGACAAGGTGAGAGTTTGTCGTGTGACCTGTTTAAACATCCTGCTGGAAAAGGTCATACGAGATGCAAATGTGAACAGAAATGGCACTCTATACACCAAACAGCATATGTTAATCGCCTACGCCGACGACATCGACATAATGGCTTATTAAAATGATCACCGGTAACATTTTAATCTAAATAACAAACTGGCTATTTAAGAAGATTCCGTAGCTGATTTTCTATTACCTTCTCATATTCCATCATGATCCAAATCCTCAAAAAATCGTGGATTACATGTTTATGAGATTGGCACACAGTCAATCACAAATCTTAAATTATTTTTAACTGTCGCTATTGTAAACTATTGTATCTTACCTGTTTTTCTAATTGATCTGCTGCCCAATTGGTAACATGTGTTATTAGATCGGCTCTAAAATATTTACTTAATTTTGTCGAGATTTCAGGTCCTTGTGAACGACCAGCCTGTATTGAATTGGAAACACAACTTTGTAAAGTACTTAAAGAAGCTGATGTTGTACCATCCACTGTAAAGGAAATTAATGAAAACAACAACATTAATTCATTTTTTTAATTCGAAAGAGGTAACAAATAATTACTTACACTTTCTTTGTTGTGGATCTATTGATGAGCTACCACTTAAATCTAATTCCTGTGTTGGTGTCGGTGGTCCCTCACCCGGTATAACATTCATATTAACAACATTACTACTGCCAACTCCACTAACACCGGCACACATACCAACGCCGCCAACACCACCACCCGCACTACCAACAATTGCACCGGCCATATTGGCATTAGCTGATAACGACGAACACAGAACATTGTTGCTGTTGCCAACATTAACAGATCCGCCGCCCACCACTCCACCAACGCCAACATTTGTAGCGATGTTTAGTGGATTCATGCCAACAACGTTGTTACTATTTAAAACGACGTTGCCATCAACAGTCTTTAGTCCATAGGGATTAGTGCAGGAATATGATGTGGTGGCAGCAGCAGCAAGGCTTGTTATGGACATTCCGCCACTATTCACATTATTCGCATGTGCCACCGACGCTGACGCATGCAGTGGGCCAGAACCACCACCCACAAGTGGGGGTACCGCCGCCGCCACATTGCCCGTTACTGCAGATGTTGACGATGTTATAGGACTTTTACTATAGCCCATGGGTGACATACCATGGGGATGTGTTAAATTATATAAGGGTGAGTTCATAGCGTTTTCCCTGGTAATGACAACAAATAAAAAAAATTAAAAAAAAAATAATAACTCACAAGTGGAACTTGAAAATTATGTGCATACCTTAAATTCATAACCTGCTGTGCTGATGCATGGTTATTATCACCCGGACTAGGCGATATGAGATGACCGTCAGGTGTATTTATATGATGATGAATCTGTTGTTGACGCATTAACAAAGCTGGATCCTTGGAGCCTTGCTTGTTTGGTGGGCCCGGAGCATTTGAGTTCAAATGATGATCCACTTGACTCGAAGATGAAGGGACAGGGGTCTAAAATACAGTTAAACAAAAAATAGGGTTAAATGTTTATAGTTTCAAAGATCCGCCGCCACACTTACATTAGGCGATCCAACAGCTCCCATATGAGTTTGATGTAATGCTGTGACAGGATCCAATTTCCTATGATTGCTGTTGTTGTTGCTATTACTGCCACTACTGGACATTGTATTGGCGGTCGATGGTATCGTTCCTGCTAGATTTGTTGTAGCAAGACCAGTTGCGGGTAACATAGTAGCTCCACCAACCACATGGCCAGAACTGTTGCTGCTGCCGCCGCCGCCCCCACCGATCACCACTGAACCACCAGCCACATTGGCTGCGGTATTAGGACATGTGGCCGGATAATGCATTGACGCGGACGCACCACTCGCATGTGATGCAGCTGCTAAACTGCTGGCATTAACAGAGGAAGATGTCATATTACTACTAGAGGCATTGGGATGTGAAGCTAAACGAGGCAATGCATTTGGTAATACCACCGCTGTTGATGGCAATGCTTGGTCGTTGTGTTGATTGCCACCGACATATGTTGTTGGAGTACCCGTTAATGAATAACTAGCTTCCGAAGTCGGTGTTGAATCACCGGGACTAATATCCATATCTGGATTGTCAGCAATGCGCCCTGAAGGGAAAAAACGGATTAAGAAAAATATATTTAGATTTAAAAGTGTATTTTACATACCATCTATGCGTCTTCGATGATTTGGTGGTCCACTATCATTATCATAGTTCCACCTCAGTCGGGAATTGCCTCGAGAACTGGAATGTTTATATGCTGTGGGAGCAGAAAACAAAATCGTATTTATTAATACATATATTCAAGAGGGATAGGTTATGGTTTTACATACATGATCTAGAAAATCGTTCTTCGCGATCTCTATCGCGTTCCTTGTCGCGGTAGTCCTTTTCGCGATGCTGATCTCGCGCCAGATTACTGAAAATAATATTATTTATATTATGAAATTATAATAATTAAAATCAGTTATAAAGCGGCTTCGATTGGAGTACAGAGGACCGAATATATGTTCCCAAGATTGGTTATATGGTTTTCAAGAGACCTAAGAACCTAATAAGAGTGGTCTGTTAAGTAAATTTTTTTTCAAGGAGGCCTAATCCTCCTCGTGGTTTTACGAATATAGTATATACTAGCAAAGTACCCGCTACTTCGTATGCGGAAAAGGAATAAAAAAATATTTCTTATGGAAATCGTGAATACCGTATAATTAGTTGTACTATAGTTCTGAATTCCACCTCTATTCCTACATTTAATATCAAGTTTATTACCATTAAGTACTCTTCATACACATAAGCACTATTTTCCGAAATCCACACTTTAGCAAAAACGTATAGTTCTGTATTCCACCTCTATCCCTACATTTAATATCAAGTTTATTACCATTAAGTACTCTTCATACACATAAGCACTAATTTCCGAAATCCACACTTTAGGAAAAACGTACAGGTTCCACATGTAATTCCATTTAGAACTTTTCAAACACATAATTCTACATTTTAAAGACTACCTCTATACCGTCACCTCCACTAAATTTAATACCAAAAACCCTTTGGTCCTTCTTTCTAACTCTCTGTCAATGACCAACATTCTAAATTTTAGGTTTCCAGCTCTCTCCGATACCCAAATTCAAATTATTCCAAATTTAGTGAATTTTCTTCCACCATAGTCCAAATTGTTCCAAATTTAGTGGTTTTCGTACTCATAAGTACAAATTTCCAAATGTACCTCAATCCTTCTTTCAGATAGTCCAAATTTAAGAATTTCAGCTCTGAGTGAAACCATTCCGCACTTTTCGTACCCATAACCAAACCAATCTCAACATTCCAAACCAGCTTTCAATCGTAAGTCCAAATTTAAGAATTTCAGCTCTATCTGTTCACTAAACTGTACCATATTTGGTACCATTCTGTACTTTTCCTACACTCCCAGAGTAACCTAAGTTGCAACATTCAGGATTCGAGTTCTACCCGTTCACCAAAGTCCAAATTGTACCAAATTTTTTGGTTGTCGTACCCAAAGTACAAATTTTCAAAAATACCTCAGTCATGCACTCCAATAACAACCTTAGGTCCACATTTAAAGATTCCATCTCTATTCGTTCAGATCCAAATAGATCCAATTTGTACCATATTTAGTACTTTTCGTACTCATGAGTTCGAATTTCCAACACTGTCTCAATCCTTTGCTATAAGAGTAATTTTATTTTCAAATCCATCCATCTCTATCCTTTCACTCAAATCTAAATTGTACTGAACTTAGCACCATTTAGTACAGATAATTACGTATTTTTAAAACTACCTCATCCTACACTCCAACCTTATTTTTAAGTCCAAATATTAGGATTCCCGCCCACACAAAAAGAATTGTACCATATTTAGTACCAATTAGGTCTTCTCGTATCCATAAGTACGAAATTCCAATACTTCCTTAATCTTGTAATTTTAATTCCAAATTTACGTTTACTATCTCTATCCGTTAACTCGAATCAAACTTGTGCATTTTTTTTACCATTTAGTACACATAATGACGAATTTTAAAAAATTACCGACATATCTCAATTCTGCACTCAAACTGTAATATTAATTCAAAATTTCAGAGTACAGCCCTATCCGTTCACACATTTGTAAGCTTTTCGGTACCATTTAGTACTTTTTGTTTCTATAATTAAACATTTCCTAAACTATGTCAATCCTACACTCCAACAGTAATTTTAATTAAACAATTCGGGAGTCCAGCACTATCCGTTCACACGTAATCAAGTTGTACCAAATATAGTACTATTTAGTAGTAGGTAGGTGACATGCTTCCATATCTCAATTCTATATTCAAACATCAACCATTAGTCCAAATTATTGGTTTCCAGCTCTCTCCGTTCACCCAAATCCATCTAGTGCCGTTTAGTACTTTTCGTACACATAAATACGATTTTCCAAAGATGTCTCTATAGCTCAATCTACAACAGAAATCTTAATTCCAAATTTCAGGTTTTCAGTTCTATCCTTTCAATCAACATCCAAATTGTACTAAATTTAGTACCATATATACCTTTTGTACCAAAAAGTACGACTATACCCCAACAGTCATTTTAATTCCCAATTTGAAGACTTCAGCTCTATCTGTTCACCTAAATCCAACTTCCACCAAATTTAGTACCAAGTAAGTACTTTTCATACAAATAAGTACGATTTTTTAAAGCTAATTCCGATTATCAAGATTCCATCTCTACACACTCAACTGAAGGTAAATAGTACGGAATTTAGTACCATTTTACACTTTTTATACACATAAGTACGAATGTCTTAAACTATTTCCGTACATCAACACCACTTCCCAACATGTATTCCATTTAAAATGTCAAGATTTCAGCTATATATGTTCAATATATATACAATAGGAACTAAATTCAGTAAAGTTTAGTACCTTTAGTACACTTATATGTCGAATTTCCAAAAACCCTTTTGCATATCTTTCTAACTTTTCATCAGTGACCAACATTCCAAATTTCAGAATTTTAGCTCTTTCCGTTCGCTAATAAAAAGGGTACCATATTTGGTATATTTTAGTACTTTTCGTATCCTTCTACTTCCAACAAAACTTCCGGCATACCCTGATCCTACACCCCCATAATGATTCCAAATTTAAATGTACTAAATTTAGTACACAGTAGTACGAATTTCCAATACTTCTCACTAAACCCACACCCCCACCGTTATCCTAAATCCAAGTTTCAGAATTCCAACTCTATCGGTTCATCCACAATTCAATTTGTACCAAATTTCGTACACTGTAGTACGAATTTCCAAAACTTCCTACTTAACCCAAGCCTACACTCCACAGTGATCCTAATTCCAAGTTTCAGAATTCCAACGCTATCAGTTCACTCACAATCCAAATTGTACCAAATTTAGTACACAGTAGTATGAATTTCCAAAACCTCCTACTTACCCTAACCCTACAACCCCACAGTGACCCTAAATCCAAGTTTCAGTATTACAACTCTATCGGTTCACTCACAATCCAAATTGTGCCAAATTTAGTACACAGTAGTATGAATTTCCAAAACCTCCAACTTACCCCAACCCTATAACCCCACAGTGACCCTAAATCCAAGTTTCAGGATTACAACTCTATCGGTTCACTCACAATTCAATTTGTACCAAATTTAGTACACTGCAGTACGAATTTCCAAAACTTCCTACATACCCCAATCCTACACCGCCACAGTGATCCTAACTCAAAGTTTCAGCATTCCAGCTCTATCGGTTCACCCACAATTCAAATTGTACCAAATTTAGTACATAGTAGTACCAATTTCCAAAACTTCCTAAATATCCCAATCCTACACCCCCACAGTGATCCTAAATCCTAGTTTCAGGATTCCAACTCTATCGGTTCAACTACAGTTCAAATTGTACGATATTAAGTACACAGTAGTACGAATTTCGAAAACTTCTTACTTACCCCAAACAGAGATGCTAAATACAACTTTCAGGATTACAACTCTTTCGGTTCACTCACAATTCAAATTGTACCAAATTTAGTACACAGTAGTACGAATTTCCAAAACGTCCCACTTAACCCAAAATTTCACCCCCAGAGTGATCCTAAATCCATGATTTAAGATTCCAACTCTATCGGTTCACCCACAATTCAAATTGTACCAAATTTAGTACACATTAGTAAAAAATTTTAAAACTTCCTACATATCTCGATCTTACACCCCAACACTGATCCTGACTCCAAATTTCATGATTCTAGCTCTATTGGTTCGCATAAAATTCAAGTTGTACCAAATTTAGAACCATTTAGTACCCATGAATATAAATTACTGAAACTGGGTAAAAAAATTCCAAAACTACGTACATTCCCAATCCTATACTCCGACGGTAATGTTAATTTCAAATTTCAGGATTCCAGCTCGATTTGTATCTCCAAATTAAATTTGTACCAAATATAGTATCATATAGTACTTTTCGTACACATGAGTACACGCTTTCAAAACCATCTCCTTAAATAGACTCTACATCTCATCCGTAATTCACATTCCAAATTTCAAGTTTTTAGCTCCATCAATTCACATGCTACGAAATTGTACCAAATTAAGTACATTTTAGTACTTTTCGGATATTTATAGTTCGAATTTCCAAAAACCCTTTGGTACATATATCCTACATTCAGCGACCACCAATCCAAATTTCAGAGTTCTAGCTCTACCGGTTCGCCAAATACAAATGGTATGACATTTAGTACTTTTTAGTACTTTTCGTACCGTTCTAGTACGAATTTCCAAAAACCCTTTTGTACAGCTTTCTAACTTTCCATCAGTGACCCACATTCCAAATTTCAGAATTCTAGCTCTTCCCGTTCGCCTAATACAAAGGGTACCATATTTGGTACATTTTAGTACTTTTCGTACCCTTCTAGTTCGAATTTCCAAAAACCCAGCCTTATCTCACGCCTACACACCAACAAAAACCCACACTCAAAATTTCAAGCTTCTAGCTTTAGCCGTTTCGTCTGGGCGATGATCTGTCAGTCACTCACTCACTCACTCACCCACTCACTTAACACTAAGCTCTTTTATATATATAGATATATATTTTTTTTACTTTCATATTAATAAGCTAGGCATTGTTGGGCCTATAGCTTTGGATTTTAAGGAACATTTGCTCAGGTACTTTCAGACGATTATATCTCGATTTTTAAACATGTTTAAATCTACATTACTTCATCACTACTTAAGAGGCTTCCTAACCATTAAGCGTGGATTGTTAAATAATATTTTTAGGGATTTCTTGACCATTAGAAGAATTTTTTTGAAGGATTTCCTGACATTTAGGCGTGGATTTTTAAAGAATATTTTTGAGGCATTTCCTGACATTTAAGCGTGGATTTTTAAAGTATATTTTTGAGGGATTTCGTGACCATTAAGCGAGGATTTTTAAAATAATATTTTTGAGCGATTTCGTAACCATTAGGAGTAGATTTTTAAAGAATATTTTTGAGGCATTTCCTGACATTTAGACGTGGATTTTTAAAGAATATTTTTGAGGCATTTCCTGACATTTAGACGTGGATTTTTAAAGCATATTTTTGAGGGACTTCCTGGTCATTAATCGTGGATTTTCGAGGGACTTCCTGGTCGTTAAGTGTGGATTTTTAAAAAATAATTTTCGAGAAACTTCCTTGTCACTAAACGTGGATTTTTAAAGAATTATTTTCGAGGGACTTCCTGGTCATTAAACGTGGATTTTTAAAGAATTATTTTCGAGGGACTTCCTGGTCATTAAACGTGGATTTTTAAAGAATTATTTTTGAGGGACTTCCTGGTCATTAAACGTGGATTTTTAAAGAATTATTTTTGAGGGACTTCCTGGTCATTAAACGTGGATTTTTAAAGAATTATTTTTGAGGGACTTCCTGGTCATTAAACGTGGATTTTTAAAGAATTATTTTTGAGGGACTTCCTGGTCATTAAACGTGGATTTTTAAAGAATAATTTTGAGAATATTTTTCAAGAATTTAATGCGAATATAGCGTGGATTTTTTTTCAAGGACATTTGTCATTATTGTCTTTGTCAATTAAGCTTGCTTTTTTAAAGCATATTTTTCAAATAAAGCCAATAAAGCTTGAATTTTTTAAAGGATTTGGACCATTTAAGCGCGAATTTTTTTCAGGAATTTGGAGTCAATTAAGAATAAATTTTCAAGGATATTTTTCAAAAGATTTGGAGGCAGTGAAACGTGAAATTTTAAAAGTTTTTTTCAAGGAATTGAAGTCAATTAAGCGTGTATTTTTAGAAGACATTTTTGATGGTGTGTCATACATGAAACGAGGATTTTAAAGAATAGTTTTGAAGGACTTGCAGAACATTAAACTTTAATTTTTAAAGAATGAACTTTAACAAGAGTCCACTAACTCTAGAGTTTAACATACTATTAATTTGGATTTTTAAATAATATTTTTGAACGAGTCGATTTTCAAAGACTAGACAACCAATAACCTTGGAGTTTTAAAGGATATTTCTCAATGGGCCTACAAATTCTAAAGTTTAGAGATCATTTTTCAGCGGATCGCAGGACAATAAGAGTTGCAATTACCCATTTTCAACTTACCGCTCACGTTCAATCCATTCCTTTGGTTTTTCCCATTGTGAGACTTCTGTTTTACAATTATAATAATACATTTTTCCTAATAAAAAAGAAGAACAAACAAAATCAAATTAAAGACTGAAAAATACTTCTTAAAACCAATCATACAACTTACCCGAAGAACTAACATGTTCACTCCAATCACCACATCGGGCGATACGTTCACCTCGATCATTACGATCACCACTGCCACCACCACCTCGATCGCGATCACGATCATCACCGCCTCGTGCACTGCGATCGCGATCACGATCTCTGTCACGATCGCGATCACGGTCTCGTTCACGATCCCGCAGCGAGTCTCGATCACGTTTGCTGTCCCTTAAATCACGATCTCTGTCGCGATCACGATCCCGATCGCCACCACGGTCTCGATCGCGATCATCCGAGCCAGAACGTTTATCGCCGGAAGAACAGAGCTTGGCTCCGCTTACACTTCCGCCGCCACCACGACGATCAAGCCTGTCATGATTGGTGCGATGCGACTCAGAATCTCGATCACCACGTCGGTCACGTTTGTCTGTGGAAAGAGAGGAGGGAATTAACTTTTTTGTCTAATGAATGGAAAATTAAAACGTACCTGAATATTTATCCTTTTTATAAATATCACGATCCCGATCTCTCATTTTTTGCATATAGCTGAAACGATCACCACCTCGATGGTCGCCACGATCACGTATATCGTGTGAACCACCGTGTCCCCTCGATGATGGTGAATCTATTTCAGGTGATTGTGATCGATACGATGAACTATTACCATTGTTTAATGGTCCACCACCAGCTGGGGAAAGGTCGCGATCGCGATAGTTTGATGAGCGATCACGTTCATAGTCTCGTTTTGAACTGTATTTGGAACTCTGTACATAAAAAAACAATAGAAAATAAACAAAAATTAAATTATGTTTCATTAGGTTATCCAAAAAAAAATATATTCATATCAGATTTTTTAGTTTTGGGTGACATAAATAAAAGAAGAAAAGAGAGAGGCGCCAATATATTCAAATGATTTCAAATGTGTGTGAGTTTCTGGTGAGGTGTGGTGTAAAAATAATTGATAACTAGTGAATACAAATTAAAAATGAATTTAAATGAGGATATCCGTTTACAAGCGAACAGGGCTTGAAGAAAAGAGGACAATTTTGATTGAAAAGCTTTTAAGATTGATTTTAGACACATTATTTATACCCTGCTGTTCGACTGCAATGGAGAATGAGATTTTCGTATTCTACAAAAATCATATTTAAGAATTTTTTTTCAAAGTCTAAAAAAGCAATTTGGAAATAGAACAAAACTGAAAACCGGGGGGTATACAAAAGTAAAACAAAAGAAATTTGAAAGTATAACAACAAACAAATGTGGTTGGTGGTGGTGTTGTAAGCAGTGTAAGGTTCAATCTGTTATCCTGCAAGAATGACCACTACTACTTACATCTACGATGCGACACAGTCCGACAGCAGCAGCATTTTTATTACATTCAGCTGCCAGTGTTGTTGTGATATCGAGTGCAATACTATTTGTGGCAGACATAAACAACTGTGTGTGACAAGAATAGTTTAGAGGAGGAGTTTCAAATAATCCCCCTTCTTGATTGTTTTGAAGTTCTATATATGTGATTTTTTTGTTTGTTTTTTATTTATTTTTCAGCTGCAGCTTCAGCTGAATATATGGTGATTAGATTTTTTGGATGATCAATTTGAGTTTCGAGAAAAACGTTTTTTTTTTTCTTTTTTCAATTTGCTGGCTTTATCGGTTTCTTATCTCACGCATTTACTTTTTGACTCAAATGAAAATGTTTTATTTTGATGACTAACACAATTGAGTGAGTAGTAGGTAGTAAAAGAGTGATATTTGATATTTCTACATCTATTTTTTGTTTTATTTTGAAATTCGGATACATTTCATTTGTAATAAAAACAACTTCTTGGATGATGCCATATCACAGAGAAAATGTCAAAGAAAAACATATGAATATGAATTAGAAAAAAACAAACAAACATAGAAATTAACGTCTCAGGATAAAATAGTGGAATATTTACAGATAACAAGAAGAAGAACAAAACATTGCAAAATTTTCTAAATGTATTTCATTTTTGAGTGATGAAATAATGAGAGTATATTTATAGAGAGGGGTATTAGAAAAAAGAAAAGAAACATTTTGTGAGCATTGATTTTGAGCTGCTTTCTAAAGAGGAATAAAAATAAACTAAATTTTTAAAATATTTTTTTTCAGATTTGCTGAGCAAACATCGTGTATTATTAAAAAAGAATATTTCATATTAAAAGAATATTCCATAAAGGATATTTCCAGGGTATTTAAAACTCTATAAAGGATAAGGATTTTACAACTTTTAGATTTTAAGACAAAAAACTGTTGTATCATTCGTTTAATAATATTTAAGAATATTTTCCGATCAATAAGCATGGATTTTGTAAGAATTTGTTATGATCAGAAGACATTCGCACCAAAAAACATGAATTTTTTAAATCAGGGATTAGGATATCACCTCCACAGGATTTTAAGGAGTATTTTCGGGGGGTTTTCTGAATATTTTAAGAAGGATCAGAAAAGACACGTATCTCTGGATTTTTAAGAATATGTTGGAAGTGTTGATCTATATGTTTTATTTGCAGAAAATTTAATCAGAATAAGTTTACTGAGACTTGTAGATAAATAATAGCGGATTTATTGAGGAATATTTTATCAAGTATCAGAAAAAAGAAGAAAGAACAAGAAAAACGTGAGCGTGAGCAAATCGAAAATTCTACCAACGGGTAAAACGAAGGCTTTGGTGCAGGCACATCCTCCTGTAGAGATTAAGAAGGAAACCTGGTGACAGATACAGACAGCGTGTTGAGGATCTGGAAGGAGCATTTTGAAAAGCTTCTAGTATCAAATAGTAGCGATGAAGAAGATACCCCAGAACCAATAAGAGATGACGGTATAGAGTGTATACCACTTAGGCAAGATGAGGACATAAAAGCAATTAATCGTCTCAAGAAGAATAAAGCAGAACAATAAAGCTCAATAAAGCGCAACCGAAAGATCTACGGGCCAATCTGCGTCGACGATGAATATCGGCGTCGAATGAACCACGGGCTTTACAATTTATACGCGGACATCGACATAGTCGTATTGAGCTGCAGCGACTACATTGGCTAGGCCATGTTGTGCGAATGAATGAGAATGCCCCAGCTCAAAAGGTATATATGCCTATATATGCGAGCCTACTGATGGTTTCCGTAGAAGGGGAAGGCCACGAATTATATGGAAAGGCCAAGTAGAAAACAACATCTTGGAATGTGGTCTTTTAAATTGGAGAACAACCGGCTTATGGAACAACCGTTCTGTTACAAGCGAGCTAAGTAAGTAAGAGTTTAAGAAGATATTAAGACCAATGAGCATATCTTTTTCTGGGAGTAATAGAATGAGCGTGTATTTTTGAAGAATTAGAAACCACAATATTTATTTAGATGTTTAGGATTTTTTTAAAGCATCGTTATTGTACTACGAAAGATCTATTACATAAAAACGGATAGAAGAAATTGATGCAGAAACTACAAAGAAACATGACCGGGGATATCACGAATTCAGTATTCTTGACACCGAAAAGTAAATCAGAGAGAGAATGACCAGACCAATTTAAGTACGAAAAGAAAATCGAATATTTACTTTGCATATGGTTGGTTTGTGCTTTTAATAAGTGACGTGACAGTATTGTATATATTATTGCACTAAGCTTCACATTTGATAAATAGGTCAACTTCCTTTACAGTTTTTGCGAACAATCGTATATGTCTTATTCGAATAATAATTAATAATTAATTATAAAAGAATTATCCTTTTTCTCTATTTTAAACACATTTATATACTTCTATGATATCAAGACCTGCGAATAGAGTTTTTACTGATTTATTTTGTGGGGACATATCCTTAACTAAAATCCTTAAAATACAAGAAAGAATGACAGCATTTATATAATTTGAATAGCGAATAATTATGCTATGTCTCGCTCTACAAATTGTTTCTTTTTCTTTAATTAAGATTATGAAAAATGTGAATAACTATTTAATAAAAAACATGTATGATCCAATTAATGTAAATGAAATCGAATTACAAAATAAAAAAATCTTTCTGGGTAGACAAACTAAAAAGAAGCAAGCTAAAAATTATAATATAAAATGTAAACTCACCTGATACGAATGAGATTGATGCTTCTCAAAGTAGCTGAAATTATAAAAAAGGGAAATATATTAATGACAATTTTTTATGATTTGGTTGATAATCAATATAATAATCAATATTTTAATAAAGAACACTTTTTTTAATACAGTATAAAGTATATGTCTCATGTTGCGAGCATGTGCTACATTTTTTGCGTGCAATGGATGGGACTAAGAGCAAGATTTCCAGAAGAACGTATATAGGGACGTAACCTCAAGGTTAAAATTAAATACAAATATCATAATCATGTATGGAATATAGGGGTCATCATTTCAATCTGAAATAGTCATTCGAAAGGTCCCGATTCATAGTTAAAAAATACAAAAGGCGGCCGTAACTCAAGGCACTAATGGTCAGAACTTGATCAGAACTTGAAATTGTTTTGCACGCAGATAATATATCATATCGAAAGTCATTGAAAGCATTTAAAAAATTGTATTCGCCTTCGTTGTTGTAGATTAAAGCAGGTTCCATAGTTGAAAAGAAGTTTAGACACGATGGAAAGCCCATAACTGGACAGCGACAAAGGAGATATTCAATTATCTCTGTCTCCTCCTCGTCTTCACAAAGTCTGCAGTAATCAGTAACATCATGGTCCCACTTACTGATAAAGGCGCTGATACTGCAATGACCAGTAATAACTCCTGCCATTATACTAATTTCAGCATTGCTCAGGTTCAACAGTGAATTTGTTCTTTTGACTTTTGACATTGCACCTAGGTTCGTTGTTCATTGGCTCGCTCGTCAAAGAACACCTCAAAATTCCGGAAAAGGTGACAGATGGGTGATTTAATTGAGTTATTGATTGCTAGATCTGGTACCCAGAACAGCCGATAACTGTCAATAAGTGTTTCTACAAAATAGTGATGATACAGGATTTGATGGCTTAGTGTTTATAAAACGGCGAATCCTGGACAGATGGTTTCAGACCTCTGGCTGGTTTATCAGATATAGAAACGGTTCCAAGATCAATGAAGTGTTTACTGTGAGGAATTATATTTTTCAAGGAGAAATATTAGCAATCACCATGCGGTCATCAATAAGTTGGGTTCAAGGACATAGTGAAATACAGCAAATAATGGTCTAAGAACCTGGATGGATTTTAAAGACCATTAACGTAGTAGAAATACTTCGTTGCTGTCATTGAGGAAAAAGAAGATCAAACTCACTGTAGGTGTCATAATAGGTCACTGCAGGTTAGGTCACTTACATTCAAATGGAGTAGAGTAGGTTATTGAATTTCCAAGACTATATGGTTGAGGTCATAACAGATTACTGCACAATTAAATCGCTTACATAAAAATGGGACATAATTAGAGTAGATTATTGTCGTTTATGTGAGGATGAGGAAAGGCAAGAAACAATTTAGCATATCATTATCTGCAGATGTCCATACCCAAACTGCAGAAGATACCGACAATTGGGGAGATATGGAGTTGATACTCTAGCAGCATCCTTCTACGAAATAGATACCACAAAAACATTTAGCTTAAAGTTTTTCCGGAATTTGTATTTCCCGAGATATGGGCCTCTAAACTTCCGTGGTGTGTTTTTCGAAATACTTAAAAACAATATGGGTATCAATTAAAAGCGGCACTCAAAAATGCAATATTTCTTGAAACTTAAAAGTAGGTGTGGGTGGACGGCATTCGCATTCCTGTGGACAGATAGCAACTCAAGCTACGTGTCAGAATATATTTTTGATTAGAATAGTATTTGTGGTTGGATAGCATTCGGCCGACAACTCCGGCTACGCGACTGCATCTTCGGCCTAGGATTTAAGACTTTCTCCTATGGACAAATACCGCTACGCAACAGAATCACCTTTTATTAGAATAGTAGTTGTGGTGGTTAACCGGCCTTCAGCCGCAAATTTTAATATTTCTTCTATGGAGAGATGACAACTCCGGAAACATAACAGAATCTCCTCTATATAAACATTATGTCCCAATACATTTAGTCTCTAATAAAGACAATATAGACAACAGAATCTCCTTTAATAGAATAGTAGTTGTGGTTGACCGGCTTTTGGCCGCGAATTTTAATATTTCTTCTATGGAGAGATGACAACTCCGGAAACGCAACAGAACCTCCTCTATTTAAACATTGCAGCCCAATACATTTAGTCTGAAATAAAGACAATATGGACTTCATCGATAATGAAATAACATTTTTGTAAGAAAGAAATGTATACCGTCGTAATCAGGGCCCCAAGGACCTACAAATGGTGGTACAAAATTTCAATACGATCCGAGACCAGACCTTAAACTAGACTTAAGCCAAGAAAATTTATCCGAGTGAAAACAGCTGCCTTTAAGCTAACCTAGACATATAGACATCGATTAAATTACACTGTTATTTTATATCACTTTTCAAATATATTGTTGTGTTTGGTATTTAAGGATATACAGCAAATATGTTATTTGAAAAATGTGAGTGAACAAATATTATATTATCTATTTAATACGATCATATGTTACACGGCATGAAATCACAGTCACTATAAATTATTTCACTTTGAAGTCAGTTGAGACTTCTCTTGAGCATGGAATAATGTTCATTAATGACAATGAAAAGTAAAGGATCACCAGCATGACGTCTAAGGATCACCAAATGGCATTGGAAAATTGTAGGCTAGCGCCTTTGAAGGATATTTTGTTTAATTTTGAACTTGAAAAAAACATTCTAACAAAGCCGACACTTTTCAATTCACTGTTCATATCTTAAATTGCATTTTATGAAAACTTTTAGATCATAGTCCAAGGTTAAAACAGCATGTAACACACTCACTTAGTATACAGAAGGACTAACGACACAAAGTAGAATAATAAGGCATAACCGTTTAGAACTCCTTTGACCCCCCGAAGGAGTAATGAAATTTGAAGGAGGAAATATGAAATGAAGATGTCCAAAATTTATACAATAAATCTCATCCTTTCGTAGGAAAAACACAATGTTTTCAGAAAATATGAAAAATATTACAACAATTATTGATACAACCATAAAACAATTCAATTTACGAAAATAGTTAAAGAATCGATTGATGGACAGACATGACAGAATCCATGACAATAGTGTCGTCGTCGACAACGAAGCTGCAGATGTGGCAGCAGAATTTGTTTATTTTTTTTTTCAATTCTTCTTCTTATTGTTATTATTTAGAACCGCACATGAACAAACTCACACACATATTTTGTTGGCCATTGTAAGTTAACTTAAATTACAGCACGGCACAAAGGAAGAAGTAATCAAAATTATTATAGATATACACAGACTCCATCCATCCATCCACACACAGGCTGACTTTCTTCTCTTCTATACGTATAAACGACGTCGTCGTTGTTGTCGTCGTCGTCGCATCGAATTGTATGTGATGAACGGAGAATTGTAAAAAAAAAAAAACTTCAAGCAAAAAACGAGGTGAGCGAGGGAGAGAGGTAGGAGTGTGTGGGGACAACAGACGGCACTCGACCAGTAAAAAGATACAAAATAGATGTTCTTCTGCTTCTTTTGCACAGCTGGTTGGTTGGTGGGGGCACGAACGAAGGAAACCCCACACTAACCGCAGTGACTGCGTTGAGTTAAAGAAGTTTTAGATTTGGATATATATTTCACAAGAATGCCATTGCAGCGGCACCAATCACCACCAGAATTATTTTGTAATGGGAGTTTCACTTTTCTTTTCTTTTTTCACCGGGGACAAAATGCATCAGCGAAGTTCGATTTCAATAAATTTCTTGCAATTAGTTTGTCTCATTCGTTGTTTGTTCCTTCAAATATTAATAATACCTGCTGCTTGCTGCTGTTGCTGCCACTACTGCTATTATTTGTCTTCTTCTTCTTTTCGTATTTTCCACTTAGCTGACAGCTCAGCAGCAGAGCTGCCCCAAGTTGTGATGGTGTACACGAAAAAAAACAGATTGAAATGAAAAGAAATGACAGCAGAAACAGCAGCAGTAGTTCGAGGTGAAATAAGAAGAACAAAGCAAAATAAAAACTCTAGTTAATGGGGAAAATTCCGATTATGCTGCCACCGTTCGTTCGCCTTACTAGCTAATATGGAAATATCAAGACAATGTAAAGGAAAATATGTAAGAAAATAAGATTATTTACCCATCGTTCATGCGTTGCGGTTTTCTAGCATGCATTACCATCAATGCAAAGTTTACGCCAGTTTCCTTTTTCCGATTAACGACGTCTCACGATCAGCGGTGCTGGCGGGATGTACGGGATGTGATGGCCGAGAAAAATGTTCTGTATTATTGTTGTTGCTGCTTCCGCCGCCGCTGCTGTTGTTGCTGCCGTAGGGCCTCTTTCCAAATTCAAGTCAATAAGATTCTTATGCTTCTTCTTCTTCAAATGCAAAATTTCTCAAAAGGCCGTGCCGTGCCGTCGATGAGCTTTAATTATTGCGACCAGCCACCAGATATACAAGTGCCGCCCTTTCTGTTCTCTTCTCCTCGAGGCCCGGAAATTTTGCAAATGTTAAAATATTTGTAAGTTTTCTTCTTCTTTGTGGGGCAGTGTAAAAAAAAGAGGTTACACCTTATTTTTCATTCCCCGCTGCAGCACACGTTCGCGCACGAATTTCTAAACAATCTCAATTGTAATTAAAAAAGATCGTTTATAGAATATATGGCGACGACAACACTACGCCAACAACAACAACGTCTGTTGTGTAGTTCTAATATAGGAATTATTAGTTTTTTGGGCCCCCAATACTCTGGAACGTGTTTTCTCTACGTTCAAAGCGCTGCACTGAATTTTCACGTCAATTGAGATTTTTTTAGTACGTACGAGACGACGACAACGACGACGACGTCTATACTTCTAGTAGCTGCTGCTGACCATCATCATAGTCTTCAATCTTTAACCCAAATTAAGTGGCCAGAAAACAAGCAAATAATAAACGCAAATCAATTGCAAATGAATTTGCGTCTGGTGTTAGGCGTATTTTTTATAAATTATTGTGAAAAAATTGTGTAAAAAAATTGTTTCAGAATTTAATAGATTCGATTTTCTTTTATTTTTTGGTTCCTCTACAACTCACTTGACTGAAAAAAAATTATGCGGTTACTCGGGAAAATGGTTCCCTACACCCAATACTCAATCTGCCAATCAGTGAGTTCTGTGTATTTGGTAGTCGATAACTGTTGCACACGAACTGCAGCCAACTTCACGGCATTGAAGGAATACCTAATGTATACGTCAAATTAATGACGTATGATGTTACGCTGAGTGTTATTGTTTATGAAAACAAAATTACAAGGCGTTTAAACTACTAAATCCATTCAAATGTTAATTCCATAGCGATTTCAAATGTTAATTCCATAGCGTCACGTGAATCCTGTTTACAAATCCAGTAGATTATATGACGTGTACCCTATGGAATTGACATTTGAGAATAACACAACGTTTACATTTAACCGGATTTCGTTAACCCAGTGGGTTTCAATTGTCAATTCCTTTGCATATGTGTCAAATAAATCCTCATAAAGTAGGTTAACCCGGTAAAAAGTTCTAATGTATATGCCGTTTAAAATCATCTGAAAATACTAAATCATTTCAGCCTCTCCGTGTACAATACAGTTAACTTCATAAAATGAAAAGTATAAAAATCCGGATTTTGTTAAGCCAGTGGAGTTAAATTATCAATACCATTGTCAAATAAATCCTCATAAAGTAGGTTAAAAGCGAATTTACATATAACATTTAATCATGATTAAAGGCTGAATCAGGGTTTATTTTCTTAATCAGGCTAAATTTACCATGATTTACCACACAAATTTTAATCATCGTGCAGCAGGATTTATTTTAAATCATGATCGAAAAAAATACAACTCTCTCACAATGTTCCAAAATTTGCAACTGTTTTTACATGCCGTTTGTTTTTAAATTTAACGGTTGACAAAAACAAAAATGACAGATCAAAGGAAAATAAAAATTAATTATAGATTTTTTGTGTTTTTAGGTGTTTTTTTACTTTCTTTTTTAAATTGCAAACAAATATTTTTGGCGCAAATTAATAATTTGGTATGTATACTAACAAACATCAGCTGATCGGCATTTAGATCATGATTAATGGTATGTGTAAACAATTAGGGTGTATTTCTGGATTTCGTTAATCGAGTCGATTTAAAATCGTATATGTAAATGTACTTTAACCCGGTAAAAAGTTCAATGTCGCTTTTTATTAAAAAACTTTTTGAGCTACTTCCATTTTTTGCATGGCATGTATTTTTTTTTCTAGACAACTACATTGAATTTTAACAGATTTTGAAGAGTGGAAAAACAAGGATAGGAAAAGTAGAGAACAAAGCATGGTATAATAATAGAAGGTAACAGCAAGTGTTGTTGTACAACAAACGATACAACAACCACATGGAAATTTTTTGTTGTAAGTTATACTAGTGTCAACGTCATTTGACAGAAAAATGTAAACAAACAAACAAATTATCAAGAAATTATATTTATTTTGAAAATGAAATATTTTCGAATCCTCAAAATAAAATTGAAAAACATGAATGAAAATCTATCACATTTATATTTCTATCGCTTCCACATCTTTCCTATAATTGAGCCATAACCACTTATATGTGTAACACATATGAAAATGCAGGGAATTGCGAGTTATTTCATGAAGAATGATTTGCTTCCTCAAACTTTCCCAGCAGGCAGATTGAGTAAATTGAATACGGGAGCACATTTAATAATGAACAATTTCCAATTTTATGCTTTCCCAATTTTCCTGTTGGGTGATTTTTAAAAACATAATTTGTCAAATTCATATTGACACTAGTATTACGTTGGAATCAAATCAGCTGGGATTTGCTGTTACCTTTTATTATTGTACCATGAGAACAAAGTTAAATATTTAATAGTACGTTTATATTATACCAGATTTCGTTAACCCAATATGTTTGAATTGTCAATTTCATTGTATATATGTAAAAAGTTCTAATGTAAATGCCGCTTTAGTTTAGTAATTTCAAATGTTGATCTATAGAATATAAGTTCAACTGTTTCCAGCCTCATACATATTCCATTTGGATGTTAGTGATATAATCCTACTATGACCTTTTATGATCCATAACCTTTTCGTCTATGACAGCAACGAAGTAGCCCCACGTAGTGAAAACTCAGGCCAGATAGACTTTGGAATTATTTATACCGTTTCTTCTGAATATCTGATACCGGCTTTCCAGTAGAATTGCGTACAGATTTTACCTGTTTATATGTAAAATGCGTTTAGTGTCTATATAAACAAACATCAGCTGATTGTTAGCTGATTTGTCAACAATTAATGTGTTTTTTAGTATTTATTAAATCGAATGGATTTAAAACCTTATATATAAATGCAATGTTGTTTTAAATTTTAATAAAATGCGTTCAGTGTAAATCAGGTTTAACCCATAGCCTGATTTATAGTGTGTTTATATTAGAATTTTTATTTGATATATATTCAATGGAAATGACATTTTAAACCCACTTGGTTAACAAAATCCTGTAAAATGTAAACGTACTATTACACCAAATTACATAAAGTTTGACCTCAACATTTTTATATATATGCTGTGTCTGGTTACTTTTCCAGTAACATTTACTCAGTATGTTCTATTTCAGAGAGTAAGCCTTTTTATTCTCTTTTGCAATAATACTGAGAAAAGTAAACAGACAACATTCAGAAAGATTCAAAAAATAATGTACAGATTCGTGAATTTTGTTCCATTTTCTAAATTTTTATATACAACACATGTCAAAATTGCACTTCGGAAATTAAAATGTTTGGATATCTTGCAGATTATTTTTGTCAACTGGCTATAAAACAGCTGATTTCAAAATTATAGAGTTTACAAAATTTTACGATATAAAATTAAGTTTGTCAGATAACTTACTAAGTAAAGAGTACTCAGTAATTTATGTTGGGAGAGTTTGTTTCCTCATGTGAAAATATTGAAAAAAGTTATCGAACAACATCCAGTAAAATACAGTATGAAATCAAATGTATGTGTAACAAATTTAAGTTGTTAAAAATTAAGAAACAAAATAACAAAGTTTAAAGAATGAATTTTATATATTTCATGCTTTTATAAATTGTATATTGCTTAATATCTCCAAAAAAAATAATATTCGGAATATTGCATTGTTTGCAAACATAAACATGAAAATGCATACTGAGTAAATTTTACCAGTAAGAATTTTTCAATACTCAGTAAACAATTGCCAAAATTTCTGAACTTTTAAGTTATCAAAAAACATTCAGTAACAATTTGTACAAATTGTTACAAATTATTGGGATATCAAACAAACCTATTATTTCAGTAAAGTCCTGTAAGTTTTTTGTTTTTGAACTGTCAAACTTGCTCTTTCTCACTTTATGCGGTGTACACACTAGCATTTTTGAATGACACTCTTGCCCAAATTTTGCTTGTTTGATAGTGTGTCCTCACATGTTTGTCATTCATCAGGCAACCACAAAAATTTTTATGGTTGTTGGACAGTCAGTAATCGATCAAAAAGTTAACAGTCAAAAATTATAGTGTGTACATTTTTTTTACAGTATTTTTTTGGTAAACAACAAAATTTAGTAACAGTTGGTAACAATTTGTTTACAAGACTCAAATATAAATTCAAACATTGTAAAATTAGTACAAACCATTGGTCACAACAGCTAATGCAAATAATTCAAACGACTGAATAATAATTCCATTAATATATACATATTCTTTTAATTTCTGTTTATATTACCTTTTCCAACATGTATAGTGTGTATCCCACTTAATTATATCTGACATACGTTTCTTACGTTACTTGTCCCAATAATTATACATTCCATGTGTTGTTTACGACACTACCTGAACTAACTGAAATGATATAGTCCGCGGGCTAGAAATGTAAATAAAAATGAATTGTACAAATGAAAATATTAAAAAATTATTGACTGTTGTTGATTCTAATGACTACTTGGCGGATTTGTACAAGGTATCGTGTAAACAATTTGAATTTAGCTAAGTTTATGTCGACAGTGGAACATAATAATTCCTTCAATGCATGACTTTAAGGAAGATATAAATACGAAGGATTATAAAATAAACCACGGATATAAGAACATTTTATATAAAAAACCGGACATTTTTTACCCATATAAGAAAATAGTTTACTATATAAAATACATACAAGAAAAAATCCGCTTATACGGAAAATGTTCCCGATTTCTGTGGTCTAGTGTATCTAGGGAAGCATAACCAGAGAGCATAACGTTAAAAAACAGGCATTTTCCAGCAAAGATGCTGTCCTCACGATGAAGCTCATAATAATAAAACATGTAATAGGGAATATAGATGAAATTCCTGCCTCATAAATAATGCATGTTTACTATAAAGTATGTCTTTTAATTAATTTTATTTTCCATACCCATTTTTCAGATATGTCTGAGGAAAGTGCAAAATGGCTCATTGGTCGTAATATTGACATGCCAAAAATTCGATATATCCCGCTTATCACCCATGAAGAAAATGAAAATATCAAAGGAACAAATGAAACGTTTAATAGTTATGTATGTAAATACACAAATTACATATTTATTATTACATAATTCACTTTCGCTCTTTTAAATACTAGAAATTATATCTCCATTGATGAAATAACACAAAAACTTTTGGACACTGTTACCAGCCGTGGTTGTGGTAGATATTGCTGGTTCTGTGCCTTCAGCGCCGCAATTTCAAACCATATCTCTTTGTGCAGCTACATTTTGGGATTATTTGCATTCGATTGAAATGCAAAAGGAAGAAAAGTTTAAAACTAGATCCACCTTGCCGGTTTATGGTATATTTATTGTTCACAAAGAAATGGAATATTTCAATGAATTTCATGTGGAAATGTTAAAAAGTTTATATTTTTATAAAGATTCGATGGTCGATAATATTTTGGATATTGAGGATTTCTTGAGCGATTCAATAACGTAATATTTTAAATTTAGAAGTAAATAGGGGGTTTCAATGCAGTTATTTATAATAACAAAATAAAATAAATTATACTTTAAATGAATTTATTTGTAGACAGACAGCAGCCATTATAATATGTATATAAATCTCCGGGAGGAACTAATTGCTAAGATGGAAACTGGGGCAAGCATATTCTACTTTGCATGGCTTTCGGCAGTTCAGTGGCCAAAATGCTCCTTCTACATCACTGTGTGTTTAGGTATAATTTGATGATACAATGTTTGAGGTGAGCAATATTCTCGTACAAATGAGTGTATTGGGAAACAGTGAAGAAAATAAGATACTTTTCAGATGCAAAACCAATATGTTTTTGAATTTGAAGAAAATGTTCCGAAGAAAACTTATAAATACTGAAAATTGAGTGGGAGTTTATATATGCTAAAAGTCCAATCGTGGACCTATATCAAAAATGTTATGCAAATATGTTTTTAGGTCTCCAAGAATCTGGAATGCAAAATAACAGGTAATTCGGTGGGAAAATTCAACTAAAACAAATTAAAGCCAATGGTGCGGGACTATTTTATAGGGTTCAAGAACGTACCCGGTCATTTTTGCCAACACCGTTGGCTATGGCTATATTATTTAGAATTTGATTCTGATCAAAAATGTATATTTTGAGATGTTGGAAAATGTAAAGTACACTCAACTTTACGGTCCATAGCTTTTGGTAACCTCCCAAAGAATCAGAAATTTGCAAACCGACATGTAGACTCCGACTCTCCAGACCTGTACAAAACAGCATACCAATGACATTAACTCAGGGGATAGATTTATACCCTCAGTCTTATGACTAATTAGTATATATATGCCTCATCGAAATATTTGTTTTAGACCTATGTTTCACAAATGGTCGAAATTTTCAATAGTTTAAAATCCAATTTCAGACGAATGGAGTGTCCGATTTGAACCAAACTATGCACAACATTTTATCTTTAGCAAGCCTAAATCATGTCCAATACGTGCACTCCTTCTTATACCTTCTTCAAAAATCAGCAAATTTTTTAATATTTATAAATTCAATATCAGATGCATCGAACGTCATATTTGAACCAATCTTTGCCCTACCAATTATCTAGATCAAGCCTTGACAAGTCCTATAGTGGTACCCTGTATATTGTTGTGAGATGGGATTTATCGGTCGACTCCCCCACAAAGGGTCAACATTTTGAAAACCTGTAAAGAGAAAGAAATCCATTATTTTTGTATGAACTATAGGGCTTTATTTAACATGCTTCGGAATGTCCGATTTGGGCCAAATATGCACCGGTTTGTTGTATGATTTGTTGCCATTTTAAAGATAACTTCATAATGTCTCTCTCATAGAAGTCCTGCTCTCTATTTGCAAAAAAATCTAGTAGTCGAATTGCACACAATCCTCCCTAGATTGTGCCAAGTCCAGTCTGTATTGCGGATGCATTAAAACTTCCCAGCCAAGCTCCCGAAGTTTCTGGCGAGTCACTGTAAATGTGTGTGACCTAGGGTTGTCCTGGTGAAACACGACACCTCTCCAGTAGTTGGCAGTAGAGATCAGAAGTTAGCATTATATTTCTATATTTTTAAAACCTTGATCAAAGAAAAGGGGTCCGAATCTTATAGTACGTTTACATTGTACCGGATTTATTAAATCCAGTGGATCTTACTTGTCAATTTCATTACATATATGTCAAATAAATCCTCATAGAAAAGGTTAACCCGGCAAAATGTGCTAATGTAAATGTCTTTTTAGCAGTCTTTGCTGCTATCATTGCACACATTATCGATATTTTCACGATTTTAGACACATTTTCCAACCGAATTATCTTTATTTCAAATTTTGAGTTCAAATTTATCTGATTTCTAAAAAAAAATTCCCAAAAAATGTTTATTATTAAATTTTGGTATTTTCAGGGTTTCTGGAAGCGTTTTGAAACTGAATTGGCTGTAGGTGTCCCTTTTAATTTTACGAAAATTTGCATTTAAAAGTGGCTGCAATTTATTATTTCTTGTGGTCTATGGTTCGCAAAATATCCTTGGAAAACATAGTCGACATAGGTCTACTTCTTTGCTATGTCCCTTATATAAAGATCCCAAGATTATTTGCTTATGAAAATAAGGCTCTCTCGTACTTACCGGGCTTCAACTCATTTTAAATACATATTTAAAAGTAAATCTAATTGTATGTATATATTTACTATTCTTTTTATTAAAAATATATGTATGTTTTTCTTTTTGTCATATATTTTTGGATTCTCAATTTTGTTTTCAAACCGAACGGACGATTTTTTTTGTGCCTGAAAAGAAAATATAAAATGTAAAAAAAAAAACAATTTCCATATTGTCAATAAATATCAATTTGGAAAATCCGATGTCGGCGGAGGAACGCACTTTATCTGAAAATGTACCACCTGACAAAGCAGGGAATACACGAAAACCTAAGGGAAACAACCAAAAATCGTCAGAAGGCCCTTTTCCATAGGAATCATTTGAAAATTTTGTAACCAAAAATTCATTATGAAGTCTAGGAATATCAACAACAATTCAAAAGCTAAGGGCACTTTAAAATGCGTGTACTCGTTCTCAATCCAAACGACCAAGAATATGCCAAGCATCAGAAATGCCATCAGGATCTAATCAAGTCAAGTCTCTCAAAATAGATTTGCTTTGCTAGGAGATATTGATGTCCTTTTCAAACCATCTCAGTCACTTTCCGAACCAAATGTAGAAAAGGAATCTGTCGAAGCTCCTAGAAAATAATTCGCATCGAAATCGGTTAACAAACTTCAAGTTTTCTGTCCCCCTATTTTTCTCTTTAATGTAATCGTCACCGACCATGTGCAATCTTTAAAATCTAAGAACGTGCCCAAAGGATACTTGTAAAAAGTATTTTATAATGGACCTTAAATATTAATATATGCTCTCAGATTTATAATCTTTTACAGGGAAATGCCTAAGCGATTAAATGAAAATGTATTAAAATATTCCTTTGGAATCATACGGTGCGCTTAAATTTATTTCTCTTCATAGGTATACCATATTCGACAGGACATGACAAAAAAAAAAACTGAAAATGGTAAAAAGGATATATTTAAGTCTTTTTGCGAATTACCTTGTTACAAGTGCAAGTTACCTACCTTCAAGCTACTACCAAATTTGATAGCTGAAAAAATTCTATCGAGTTTTCCAAAAAAATAACAAACAAGAAAACAAAGTGTTCACATAACAAACCACCACCACCCCAAAAATGAGGGTGAGAAATTTTAGAAAAGCAAGCAATGGGGGATAAGTAATGGTGGTATACATTTGTTTTGGTAAATAGCATTAGCGGCAGCAACAACAGCACATTCTTCTGAAAATGCAAACGAATGAACGAACATAAAGTAAAACACTGGAGCAAGGTGTTTTTGTTGTTGACTGAAACCTTGACAAATTTAATAGCATATGCCACTCTGTGTGTAGGCAGCAGGAAGTACTATATGGAATGTTAGTTCAGCACCAAAAATAAATTTCATTATAACAAATGTTCAGAATAACTACTATTTTGGTAAAAGGGGAACTTGTTCTATTTATAGAATTGAGATACTTTTAAATTTTTGTAATTTAAATTTTCCGTTTAATAATTACAGAAACGCAATTTTATATATATTGTGTATCCTTCTTCTACAGCATTTACTGTAGTAGAAACCCCCTCAAAATAACTATACCGGAGGCGCATACACACTATCACTCCCTTAAGCAAATAAACAAAACGGCCAAGCAACCAGCCGACCGACCGACGAACGACCTTCTTCCTTTACAACAACAGCAATGCCACCACCACTATCATATATTTTTATATATATCTTTCACGATAGAGAGAATGCCGAAATAAAAATGCGTATTGTTGTTTTTCTTTTTTTCTGAAGGGGTTTTACTAAATCACGTACCTTACTTCGGGTCACGATGATATTTTATTTTTTGTTTTTTTTTTTTTAATTTTTTATTAGTTATTTAATATTTTATATACATTATCGTATATTAAAAGCTTTGTTTTGAATTAAATTGAATGAGATATTGTAATTATTATATTTCTTTATTTTTATTATTATTTTATTATTGTGGTTGTTGTTGTTTTCTTTTCATTTATTTTTTTGTTTGTTTTGTTTATTTTATATTTTTTAATTTTATTTATTTTTATTAATATTTCTACCGGGTATTATTGGAACCAGCATTGGTATTATTACTTGTATGGGCCTCATAGTCCATGACTTCTTCATAGATCAGTTCCTTCCATTGCTCAACATTGTGTTCCCTCTCGTCGACACTGTGATCATAGGGTTCGGGTGCCGGGGCATTTACCTCCTCATTGTCATACCAAACGTGTATGTAGCTGTGCAACAAAGCCTTCTCCACCGATATACGCTGTTCCGGATCGATAACCAACATCTTGCTCAGCAAATCACGTGCCTCAGCTGCCTTTCGTCGACTCTGTTCATTGTTGTCATTGGGAAACAGCACATCCGGAAATAGACGATCGAACGAATATCCCGAATATCGTGGCCTATTCTCGACATAGTTGCGCACGGTTGGCTGTAGACGTTGCATAAAACTGGTCGATGGTGTACCCAACTGTTCTATGATTTTGTTCCATTGATCAATGTGATCGGTACCGGGAAACAAGACGCCACCACGTATCATTTCACCCATAATACAGCCAACGGACCATATATCGACATTCTCCTTGTAGCCCATGCCCAAGATGACTTCGGGGGCGCGATAATAGCGCGTCACAACATACGGGGTCATCATAAATGTGGTACCCGCTGTTCGAGCCAAACCGAAATCCAATATTTTCAATGTACAATCGGCCTTGACCACAATGTTCGAGGGCTTCAGATCCCTGTGTATGATGCCGGCCGAATGCAAATGCTTTATGCCGCACAGCATCTGATACAGCAGATAGGACATACGGTCGTGATCCAAATCCATTTGTATGACCTGACACAGATTGGCGTCCATCAGCTCCATTACCAGATACACATCTTGGAACTCTTCCAAGCTGCGCTGGGGCGTAAATGCATTAAGTAATCCGATGATATTCTTATGATTTACTAATTTCATGAGCTTAAACTCGCGATAAGCTCTTTTGGTATGTGTTACATTTTGGAATGGACGAGACAACTTTTTTATGGCAACATTCTGTTCGGTCACCGTATCGTAGGCAGCACACACAATTCCCTGGGCGCCGGAACCGATGGGCCGTAGATTCTGGTAACGGGTAAGTATTGTAAAATTGGTGTCTCCCACCTCGACCGTGTAGAAGTCACGACGCGAAGGATGGGAAGTCATTTTGGTGTTGGTGTTTTCTGTATTTGGTTGGTTGGGTTGACTGCTCCGCTCCTTCTCCTTCCTTCCTTCCTTCAGCGCTATATTATTGCCTCAGCAGGTTAGTGGGGAGACAACAATGACTGCGGCGACCACCACGGCAACAACAACAACGACGACGACGGATATTTTTATTTTTCTTCTCTATTACATTGACATTGTATACTTCTGTTTGTTTGCTGTTTTTGGTGGCTCGTCGTCTAATTTTTTGTGTGTGAGAATTGATTTTCTGCAACTCTTAATTGTATTTACGATGACGCAAGGTGTTTTCTGCACTAGACGCCCTATATTATATCAGTCCTTGCAAGGCGTTTTTTCTTTGAAAGAAAGTCTCAAATTTTTGTTTTTCCACAGCACACAGAATCAATCGATATTTTATTAGTACACCAACGACGAACGAACGGACGACCGACCGACAGAAAAACTAGTGAAATACTTCAGAGCCAGAGTGTGAAGCCGATAAAAAAAGTAATTCAGAACTACTGCTGCGACTGCGATTGATTCTTCTTCTTGTTATTCTTGGTTTGCTTGCTTGTTCTTGTTTTATGCAGCAGACGACACTCACAGCGCCACTTTACCACCAACTGCTGATTTCTTTTTGCTCGCTGCTTGCTAGCCGCCTTGCACACACAAATACACACAAAACGTCGAAAACGAAATGAAGAAATCAAAAACACAACAACAGTAGTGTGTGGTGGCAATGATGCCAGATCCCTTTGGTTTTCTATAGGGATTTGCAATTATTTGCTAAAATTTTTCATTGTTTCTGCTTGAAATCGATTTAGACGAATTTAACACTTCGTTACGTTTGTGCTCTGCAATAGAAACCGAAACTTTGTGGTGAAAATTTAGTATATATTTGCAAAAATATAACGGCGCATGACCGCTATATTATGTTTTTAGTTTGGCGGTGTGGCATCTCGATGTGGAGGATGGTGTTGCCCATTCGTTGTTGTGTGTATGAAGTGGGGAATTATGATGGAATGTTGGGCATTTTTTTGTGGATATTAACCCATTGAACATTTTGTTAGTCGTAATTATATATGAATTATTGCTAATAATAAAAGAGCATACGTGCAGTATTTGTAAAGAATTTAGAATTATTATGGACATGTTTAATTACTATACGGTGCTGTCAAATTAAAATAAATTAAGAGAATGCTTAAAATAAACATGTTAATAGGTTATGATTAATGTTGGAATAATTTTGTATGTATTTCTAATATATATTTTTCTTTTATAAGATGTGTTTTTGAGATTCTTTTTAAATATATCATAACTTTTAGGATTTTTAAAGATTTTTTAAATTAACATAAAATAGTATTTTTTTAATTAGAGGGGATTTTTAAAGAATAATAAAGTAAATAATTTAAATTAAGGAGTATTTTTGAAATATATTTCAGTGTGTACAATTGACCAAAAATACCAGGCAATTCGGTTTCGAAAATATATTTTTTTTGACATTTTGTGAATGTTTTTTTTTTTATTTTTGTGAAAACTGACACTACAAATAAAATACAGAAAACGAATTTCCAAACAAAGACTTGCGCAAGTAAACTTGCCTAATCTAAATTGAGACATTGGAATATACCATTCTGAAATCTATGAAAAATTTCATGTCAATCGGGCAGACTTGGATTTTTAGGTGTAACATTTGTATGAAATCCAGCAAAATTATATATGACAGCTATATGTAAATCTGAAGCGACTTCAACAAAACTTTAAGACATGAAACTGGACTTACTTCAGTACGCTGTGCAAAATTTTGTCTCAATCGGACAAATATTGAGAGTTTGGTTGACCATTTAAATAAAACGGAAGAAAATATATATGGGAGCTACATCTAAATCTTAACCGATTTCAACACAACATCACAGACATAAAACTGGACGCTGTGCAAAATTTTGACTCAATCGGACAAATATTTGGTGCGCGATTCACATAAAACCGGACGAAAATATATATTGGATATATATCTCAATCAGAACCGATTTCAACATAACATCACAGACATCAAACTGAACTTATTTCTGTACGCTGTGCAAAATTTTATCTCAGTTGTGCACACTTTGGGAGTTTGGTGCACCATTTACATTGAATCGGACTAAAAAATATATATGAACCGATTTTCTCCAATTTCAATAGGGTTCGACCTTGAACCAAATAAGTACTTTACTTACTTAGCTGGCTTGTTACAGAACGGTTGTTTCATAAGCCGAACATAAAAAAGATTTCCAAGCGCGTCGGTCTTGTGCGCAAACCCACCAATTTGGAAGACCACGTTCCAAGATGTTGTTTTCTACTAGGTCTTTCCATCTAATTCATGGCCTTCCCCTTCTACGGGAACCATCAGTAGGCTCGCTTTTATAAGCACGGGTAGTGTCTTGTAAAGTGTGAGTTTGGTCTGGCGGGAGGTGGCCTTGTTTTTAAACTGCTTACTTAGACCATAGTAGCATATGTTGGCCATCACAATCCTTCTCCGAATTTCAAAACTGATGTCATTCGTTTTATTTATGGCGGTACCAAGGTATACAAATCTTTACCTACCTCGAAGCTGTAGTTCTCAAGTTCCACAGTTGGTCCGAGTTTACTGGACGTCTTGCGCGTTGATACCATCAGCTTGGTCTTCTCGCCGTTTAATGACAGACCTACTTTGGCAGACTCCTTTTCAATTTGTTCAAACGTTGCTGTTACCGCTCGATGTCATCGGCGTAGGCGAGTAACATGTGTTGTTTGGTGTACGGAGTGCCATTTCTGTTCACCTTTGCGTCTCGTATGACCTTTTCCAGCAGGATGTTAAAAAGATCACACGACAAACTGTCACCATGTGTGAATCCTCGTTCGGTATTGAAGAGCTCCGATAGGTCCTTTCCTACTTTAACTGCTGACCTTGTGCCACTTAAAGTTATCCTGCATAGCCGTATTAATTTTGAAACACCTCTGAACGGATAGGACTGTCGAATGCGGCTTTATAGAACGAAAACTTTATAGGCCACAAATGAAAGCCGAATGTTACAACACAACCCACGGTGAAGGGAATCTGGACAAGTAATTATATTATATTAGTAATATTTGTTGACTTCTAGTTGGTCAAGGGGGTGCAAATATCGCAAAATATTGCCCATGCTCAGAATATAGAACCACAGAAAGTTAGATTTTCGTGGAAGTTGTGTAGGGCGCTTTTTTAATTTATATTCTCAGGATAAAGCTACAATTCTTTTATGAATATTCCTGTTTTATACTTTTTAAATGTGTAAAAAAAATAGATTACAACATTTGTTTTATTTTTTTGTATAAAAAATTATAGTATTGTTATTATTCCTATTCCCATCGGCTCTGTATGGGATAATTTAGCAGATTTCTCCCAGGCATTATTACCATATGTAAGTAATTCTCTCTGGGGAAAATATTCCGCTGAGACAATGTGGCAATGCTGTTGTTACAAGAAACTATATTATAACAGGAAATAGGGGTTGGTTTTAGCATTACATATTAATCGAGTGGAGAAAATGTTGTACTAAATCATTAAAACGCATATGTATTTAGTGCTAAAATATATATGCAAAAAACGAAACACAATGAAAAGGAAATGTACTAAAACGTTTACATTATACCTAAAACGTTTATACTATAGTCTCCACCTATACACAGATAGGCTATGAACGAGGGTGGTTTAATAAGTAAGATAAAATCATGAGACAGTAGTATTTTCAGGAAATCAGGCGTGGAGTTTTTTAAAATAATATATTCTCAAAAAACCCTCAGAAGTGGATTTTTTAAAAGAATATTTTCTCAAAAGACCCTGAGGCGTGGATTTTTTAAAAGAATATTTTCTCAAAAGACCCTGAGGCGTGGATTTTTTAAAAGAATATTTTCTCAAAAGACCCTGAGGCGTGGATTTTTTAAAAGAATATTTTCTCTAAAGACCCTGAGGCGTGGATTTTTTAAAAGAATTTTTTCTCAAAAGACTCTGAGGCGTGGATTTTTTAAAAGAATTTTTTCTCAAAAGACCCTGAGGCGTGGACTTTTTAAAAGAATTTTTTCTCTAAAGACCCTGAGGCGTGGATTTTTTAAAAGAATTTTTTCTCAAAAGACTCTGAGGCGTGGATTTTTTAAAAGAATTTTTTCTCAAAAGACTCTGAGGCGTGGATTTTTTAAAAGAATTTTTTCTCAAAAGACTCTGAGGCGTGGATTTTTTAAAAGAATTTTTTCTCAAAAGACTCTGAGGCGTGGATTTTTTAAAAGAATTTTTTCTCAAAAGACTCTGAGGCGTGGATTTTTTAAAAGAATTTTTTCTCAAAAGACTCTGAGGCGTGGATTTTTTAAAAGAATTTTTTCTCAAAAGACTCTGAGGCGTGGATTTTTTAAAATAATATTTTCTGAAAAATATTTTTTAAAATAATATTTTTTTTTCAATTAACTTGATTTTGTTTAAACTATACGTGCTCTTGATGTTATTATTTCTTTAAGCTACTTTGTTTTTGTCATAGATCAATAGTTCCCGATAGTACGTGAGAATTTGTGTATGAACATATTGAACCACCATTACCACATTGGGATATGTTACAGTGAATTGCATCACGTGTTACGAACGTGTTGATGTTAATGGTGTATGGCTCATTGCTCTTTGACCTCTGTACATCAACAATCAAAAGGGAGAGAGTGTGGAGTGCCAAGCAGATAGCCGATATGACCACTAGACCGCGCTACCTTTGTGTAATTGGAAAATTTGCATAAAATACAAAATGGGATTATGGTGAACAATTTTCGGATGAAAGGATATTTTTGTATTCAATGCAAATTATTAATAGTTTTTTGTTTGTTTTGTACACAGGATACAATGTTTGTAGTCATGTTTTGCTGTGATTACGGAAACGAAATGGTGGGATTGTATGTGAATTTTTAACTACATGAAATGGGATGGAAAAAAATTGGTTTTGGAAAAAGTGAATATTAAAGGATTTTGATATTTAAAAGTTTATAAATATAAGAT